TACAGGCACGCGCCACCATACCCAGCTAATTTTTTGTATTTTTAGTAGAGACGGGGTTTCACCGTGTTGACCAGGATGGTCTCGATCTCTTGACCTCGTGATCCACCCGCCTCGGCTTCCCACAGTGCTGGGATTACAGGCTTGAGCCACCGCGCCCGGCCAGTCTATTCTTTTTAGGCCAGGTGTGATGGCTCATGCCCATAATCCCAGCACTTTGGGAGACCGAGGCAGGGGGATTGCTTATTGCTCAGGAGTTCAAGAACAGCCTGGCCAACATGGTGAAACCCCATCTCTACTAAAAATATAAAAATTAGCTGGGTGTGGTGGTGCGCGCCTGTAGTCTCAGTTACTTGGGAGGCTGAGGGGGGAGAATCACTTGAATCGAGAGGCCTCTGTTCCAGTGAGCTGAGATTGTGCCACTGCACTCCAGCCTGAGCGACAGAGTGAGACTGTCTCAAAAACAAAAATTATTTTTTAAATTTTTTATTGTGGTAGAATATATATATAACATAAAAGTTACTTTAATAATTTTTAAGTTCAGTGGTCTTAAGTGCATTCACATTGTTATGCAAGTATAAGGTTATATCTCAGCCTTCTTGGTTGGTGGCTTGAGTATTCTGAGCACCTCAGCTACCTATTGATGTTTATATGTGGTTAATATCAGGCATCATATGTACTTTCTACTATTTTACTCTTAGAAAGTGATGACTTGTTTCTCTTATTTCTGTGTTTATGGGGAAATACCTATTTCTTTGTACATTACAAATATTTAGACTAAAAAAAATGTTCATTTCTGCTTCCGTCTTGCTTTCTGATAAGTGCCACTAAGACATCTTTGACAGTTGCTGCAACCTGGGGCCCACCTTGCTGTGGACAGCTTAGTTGCCTTAGGCACCTGGAATGGGAGGAGTGAGGGGGTCTCAGGGAGCCTCACACATCACCGCTTCTAGCTTTGTGTGATTTGGGAGACCAATATGAATGCATGTGGGGAAGGTAATGAATTTTGAGACCTAGAGAACAAGTTCTGTGTGAGCAGTCTTGATTGATGATCCTATATGGATCCAACATGGCTGTACTCTTTTCATGTCCTGGTCTTTGGTGCAGACTGGGTTGTCCCACAGTGGGTTGTCCCTGTGGGACAACTGTGCATCGCTCTGTCAAGGACTACCTAGGATTGAGCTACTTTAGGCACACCTTAGGAATAGATTCTGTGCCTTAGCTACAGCCAGAACACCAAGGGACTGGAAGCCGTGAATTCATGACACTTTCCTCTGAAACCGAAGCCAGTGGTTCATAGTGACACACACACACATACAACCTTCTGTTTCTCTAGCTGGGTAAGGCATTAAGATGCTTTCCATTAGCAAATCAAAATGTCAGGTTTCTCCAAGAACCATTAGTATGTTAGAAGAGTCTCTACATTCATTGCTTTTCTCATTTTTCTGCCTTTTATCAAGAAATATTTGAGAAGGAAGATGCATGATCATTTGCTAACCAATTTGTGTGTGTGTGTTTTTGAAGGTACATGGGAATAGGACTCTCGGCTCAAGGCGTCAACATGAACAGACTTCCTGGTGAGTCACTGTTTAATAGAACATTTGTTTTGCTCTCCTGATCCAATTTGGTGTTGAGAGTCATGGTGGTAGTTGAGAGGCTGGGGAGGACTTTGTTTGCTGGCTGCCTGCCTCAAGCCATGCCATTGGGTAGAGGATTCTGAAAGGTAGGTAGCCTTTGGGCCAAGATGGCGTGCATTTCTATTCCCAAAATTAATTGGCAAGTGATTGTCCTTAATGGAGTTTGAACTGTTTGCAGTCAAAGTCAACTGACCTGAGCTTGCTCCTGGTGGGGATACGCCTCAGCAGCCCTTTCTCCCATTGGCCTTGCTAAGCAGATTCAGGCATGTACTGGGAGGAAGACTGCTGCCAACCCTGGCTCCTTTGTTACTTCATTGTGTTAAAGATCAGAGTTTTTGGCCAGACCCAGTGGCTCATACCTGTAATCCTGGCACTTTGGGAGGCTGAGGCAGGTGGATCACCTGAGGTCAGCAGTTTGAGACCTGCCTGGCTAATATGGTGAAACCCCCGTCTATACTAAAAATAAAAAATTAGCTGGGTGTGGTGGCACATACCTGTAGTCCCAACTACTTGGGAGGCTGAGCCAGGAGAATTGCTTGAACCTGGCAGGCAGAGGTTGCAGTGAGCAGAGATTGCGCCACTGCACTCCAGCCTGGGCAACAGAGTAAGACTCCATCTCAGAAAAAAAAAGAGATCAAAGTTTTTAAGTCACCTCCCATGTGGAACGTGATTGAAGCAATTTCTTATTTTTATTATATATATAATATATATATATTTCTTATATATAAAAATAAGAAACTATATATATAGTTTTTTTTTTGAGACAGGGTCTCACTCTATCACCCAGGCTGGAGTGCAGTGGCTCAATCACAGCTTATTGCAGCCTCAACCTTCCGGACTCAGGTGATCCTCCCACCTCAGCCTTCCTAGTAGCTGGGACCACAGGAGCTCACCATCATGCCCTGCTAATTTTTGGACTGTTTTGTAGAGACAGAGTTCTGCCATGTTGCCCAGGCTGGTCTTAAAATCCTGGGCTCTAGCCATCAGCCCATCTTGGCCTCCCAAAGTGTTGGGATGATGGGTGTCAGCCACTGTACTCAGCCTTTTTTTTAAATCATTTTATTATTTTCCTTTTGAGACAGGGTCTCACTTTTTCACCCGGACTGGAGTGTAATGGCACGATCTTGGCTCACTGCAGCCTCAACCTTCTGGGTTCAAGTGCTTCTCCCACCTCAGTCCCCCAAGTGGTTAGGATTATAGGCATGTGCTACCCACATCTGGCTAATTTTTATATTTTTTTGTAAAGATGGGATTTTGCCATGTTGCCAGGCTGGTCTTGAACTCCTGAGCTCAAACAATCCGCCCACCTCAGCCTCCCAACATGCTAGGATTACAGGCATGAGCCACCATGCCTAGGCTGAAGTGACTTCTTAATAAATAGGATGATACGCATGAGACTTGGGTTGATATCAGTCTCCCATTAGTGGAATGGCTTGAGCCCTACAGATGGCCCTCTTCTGCCATCCCAGCATTCTTTCAGCTATTTTCTGCCCAGCAGCTCATACCTAGACGTGGACTGGCTACAAATGGGGAGACAGAGCCTCTGCCATGAACTGATGGGTGCTAGAAAATGGTCTTAAGCCCATTGGTCCCTTGAGTGGCAGAAGTGACATGGTCCAGGCTTTCCTGACACTGTCATGGAGTCAGGAAAAGTCTTTGTGTTTTTTTCCTGGCTTCCTACTCTTTGTGCCTATGACACAGAGAAGGCAGCTGGCTTTCTCCAAGAAGGAAGTAACACTTAGACCTTACATCTTTTCTAATCAACGTTTAATGTAAATCACTGACTTTTTTCTAGTAGACTGATTTCAGATACTTTCAATCTAGGATGCTTAGGATCCAACTAATTGTCAGGAATCTTACTTTTTCCCCCACTTCAATTGATCCAAGTGAAAACTGGTCTTTCATTCTTAATCAGAATGTGTGTGGCAGTTTTCTTTGCATACTGTGTGGCTGTGTTCTTTTTCATATGAGCATCTGGCCTTGGCTAAGTAGATGTATCTGTAGTATCTGTAGCTCTGCCTCTTAATGAACAGGAAGAATAATTTCCTGTCAAACGCACATTGATTCTTAATTTTGTTTGTTTGCTGTAGGTGTGTTCTTTCAACTTTTGCATTGAGTTGGTAGTGGAGAAAAGAGACTTTTATGAACTTTTTTGTTGTTTTTGGAGACAGTGTCTCATTCTGCTGCCCAGACTGGAGTGCAGTGGCATGATCATGGCTCACTGCAGCCTTGACCTCCCATGTTCAAGTGATCCTCCCACTTTATTCTCCCCTGTAGCTGGGACTACAGGTGCAAGCTACCATTCTCAGCTAATTTTTCATTTTTAAAAAATTATTTTTATTTTTAAAATTTTTTTAGAGAAGGGTTGGGATAGGGGTGATTGGGTAAGTAGGAGTCTAATTTTTCATTTTTTGTAGGGACGGGGTCTCACTATGTTGCCCCAGCTGGTCTCAAATTCCTAGGTTCAAGCAATCCTTCTGCCCCAGTCTCCCAAAGTGTTAGGACTATAGACATGAGCCAGCGTGCCTGGTAGGTGACTCTTTTTTTTTTTTTTTTTTTTTTTTT